ATGATTGTTGATGATGAAATAAACGCAACAATTGTTAGGCCTCTTCCCACTGGAGCTAAACTTCACGCAATCATAGATGCTTGTCACAGTGGCACTATGCTAGATCTTCCGTATCTTTGTAGGATGGAAAGGTTTGGCACTGAATCTTTGTTTCCTGCTTAAAACACGCCAAAAGAAACAGAAAATTCATGTCTGCTAAAACTTTATCAAGGCTAGATGTAAACGGATGAAATGGGAAGATACTAGCTTTCTTTAACCTGTTTCTGAGTAAACCATTATCTCATCAAACGAGTGTTGTTTTGGATGCAGAACTGGGAGGTATGCGTGGGAGGACCACCGCCCTAGATCAGGTGCGTGGAAAGGGACAAGCGGAGGAGAGGTTATATCCTTCAGTGGCTGTGATGATGATCAAACGGCTGCTGATACCGATGTAAATTCTTAAACCTCTCTCGATTTCTTGCTGTTCTAACAGAGAACATTTTATGTTTAACGAAATCTTGATTGCAAATGAAGATGAGTAAACTGTAAATCGATCTAATATTACAATCTTCTCATCCTCTGGGCTTTTCAGAGTTTATCTAAGGTGACTTCAACAGGCGCAATGACCTTCTCTCTAATCCAAGCAATAGAACGCGGCCAAGGGACAACCTACGGGAGCATTCTAAACGCGATGAAATCTTCCATACGCAATTCTGATAGTGATTTAGGAGGCGGCCTCGTGACCTCTCTTCTGACAATGCTTGTAACTGGAGGGAGCATTGGCACGCGACAGGTACATTAGTCTTTACGCTCGCTCACATTATGCTGTGTTCTCAAATATATGAAACAATACTGATGAACATTTCCTCGAAAACTCTCTACATACAAACGGCAAGAAACGCTAAGCAGCATAATCAATCAAGAACAGATGAAACTATCTGACAAACACCAACAACGTTAAATGATACTAACGAACCCTTTGTCTTTTCCCATGATATTTTGTTCATGCAGGAGCCACAGTTAAGTGCTAACGAACCATTTGACGTGTATACCAAGCCCTTCTCGCTATAACTACTAAGACTACAATCCAGGTTCTGGTATATGCCGATCTACTGTGAATGCATTTTGTACAGTTCTTGCAGAGGCCTATCTGAATTTTATCAGTTTCTGAGTTTCATATCTTTAATGTGAAGAGGAATATTGTATGTCTGTAACATAATTATGTTATATTCAAAGCGTTATTCGTTTGTTGTACGAACTGGAATGTCTTACATATTTAGCTTGGATGAAGATCAAAACCTTAATCAAGTTCTGCTCTGTAACTTAATAGAACTTCCAGAAAAATCTAAGTGAAAATTATGCTTCTACTTAATAGTACATTATATGACTAAGGACTAAATTTGATAAAATTATTATTTGAAAGTTAAGATTATACTACCAAAGTTGAGGATTACAACTAGTATTAACTCTAAAATATGGCATAGTGTGACATTCATAAAGCAACCATCTAGAAGGATGTATTTCATCTCATGATGAGTTAGACCGAAAGGGTATTGAAGAAAATCAAACATGTGGTCATCTGGTACATAAATCATGTTTCACCCATTTAACCATTTTTTTTGGAGCTCGAGACAATTATTATTATTATTATTATTTTACCTACAATGACAGCTCAATTAGTACTTGGATGGTAAATTGGGGTAGGGACATAGGATCGAGCATTGACAACCGCAATGTTAGAGTTTCATTGAGTCACGATAATTTACCTCTTCACAATCTTATTGGTCCAGAGTATGAGAGATTTTACCTTTTGAGGGTGAGTTATCTTATTAGGATGAAAATGAAATGGTTGGGGAAGGCCACAATTGGGCCATGTTTTTTTTAGGTACAACCAAAACATGCAAATTATTGTGTGGACCATGATCAACACATTGTTGTGTGGATTATTACAAAAAGTACATTTTTTATATATTAAAAGTACATTATTCGTGTACTGATATACATTATACAAAATAATGTACTTTTCTTGAATACAATATACATTTTTAATATATAAAAAGTATATTATTTGTGTACTGAATATACATTATTTAATAGTATGGTCCACACGATAAGGATCGACCGAAACAAAGACAACCTCAAACTGGAAACCAAGAGGTCCAAGAAAGGCAAAGCAATGGGTTCATGGGTCCACTGCTGCTGATGTGTCATGTGTGGTTCTTGATCCATCCATCAATCCATCATCTCTGTGTGCTCCTGAACCGGCTTAGAGCATCCACATTGGTTGGGAAGAATGGGGAGATAATGTAAGAGTGATTAGGAAAGAGAGTGTGGGAGAGGAGAGAAAAAAAAAAAAAGAAAAAACAAAACAAAAAAAAAATTAAAAAAAAAAAGAAAGTAGTCAGACGCGTCAGGCGCGCCGACTGGCGCGCCTGACGCGCCTCCGGGCGCGTGCAGTGCACGCGCCCGGCTTTTGCCCAAGGCTGTGCGCGAACGCGCACAGCCTTGCTTCTTCTTCTTTCTCTCGCGCACAGCCTTGCTTCTTCTTCTTTCTCTTTTTTTTTTTTTTTTTTTCTGACAATCTCCCTACATTTGCAGGGAGATTATTTTTCAATTATCTCATGTCCACACTAGCTATTATCTCATGAAGGGAAGATTTAATTCTGAATTCTCCCCACAATATCCACAAGTGTGGATGCTCTTATAGTCACCATAACGAACCAGACCACTGTCTGGATAACACAACAACCACAGCCCTATTCATCTCTACTCTCTTCCCTGCAACAAACTAACTTCACACTTCTCCCAATTCCATGGCTGCAACCACTTATCTATGCTTCTCTCCTTCTTTTTCCCCCTCTTCTCTGTCTTCCCACAAGTCCCAAAAAGTTGCCTTTTCAATTCTCCCCATTCAAAAACCTCAATCTCGAATTCGCACCAGAATCCTTGCCTCCGAGAAAGGCATCGATTTGCTGGGTGATTTTGGAGCCAGAGACCCATTTCCAGCTGAGATTGAGAGCAATTTCGCCGATAATATTCTGGGAAACATGAACACCGAGCACAAGATTCTCATCCCAAACGCTTCTGCTCTGTCCCTTGCTCAACAAGACTGCGCTCCCATTTCACCTGATCAGCCTCCCATGCCTGAGTTTGAAGCTCGCCAGTTGTTGTTCAAGGTCAGGTTTTTATATATCCCCCTTTGACTCATGAATTCTGGGTTGGTATTTGTAACTTTATTATGACCATTTATGATAGATTCTGGATGGTACTTGTTGAGATGTTGAAGTCTTAGTAGCTGTTTATGGTTTTAGGGATGAACAAGAGTTGATAAATTTAATTTGGTAACTATAAGGTTACAAGTTCAACTACCCCTATTGGCCTTCTGGATTTGATATGGGTAACTTAGATTTGTGGAGTTTATCCGATAGGTAATTACAAGGTTACAAGTTCAACTTTCCGTATTGGCCTTTTTGGTTTCAATTGGTCAGCTATCGGTAACTTAGATTGGTGGAGTTTATCCAATAGGTAATTAAAAGGTTACAAGTTCAACTCCCCCTTATTGGCCTCTCGGTTTGAATTGGTCAGTGGTCAGCATACTATCGAGTGGTGACTGACGGTTCCCCTCGTTACTCCAAAAGAAAAAAAAAAAGAGTTCTTGAAAATGTTGATGAATGAATGTCTTCATATGTAGTTGTGTTAAAGATTTTGCATATTAGAGAGTAAATCAAAATTTTATGATTGCAGTTAATTGACACTTTAAAATTTTCCTATTTTCTTGATTATATTCATGACTCTACACTATGAACCAACTCTCTTTGTGTGTGTGGTTCTTCTACATTATGAGTTTCTGAATAAGGTTATAAACTTACAAGTTACAATGCTTATATTCCCAAATACACAATAGGTTGTTGGGTGGAGACTGGCAAATGAAGAAGGGGGACTCAGGCTACAATGTACATGGAAATTGAGAGACTCAGATTGTTGTGTTGAACTCATCAATAGAATAAATGAGGTGGTGGAAGGCACAGGGCATTCCTCTAATCTTCATTTGGAGCAGGAGGCCAACCATCTTAGAGCTAATCTATGGACATCTTCCATTGGTAAAATCATTTTTGTGCTGCTTCTTTACTTCTTATGTGTAAGAGCTTTCATTTCATGGGGACAATTCCCAACCAAGTTGATCAGATAATTGGCTTGGTAACCACAAAATTCCAAATTCGACTCCTCATAAGAGTTGTCTATTAGCCTTTTTGGTTTGAGCCGATCAGCTGTGAGCAACTTAGACTTACTTCATTGTGGTCCTTTGCCTACTAGAGTCGTTGTGGTCCTTTGCCTACTAGAGTCACAAGGCAGGCTTCACCCAAAGCACACCTTTGGGTAATGGCTATGGCTTCATTTTATACAACTATTAAGGGGTAGAAATTTGGTTCTAACTACTAAGGCATTTAGTTAGTAGGATTATACTTATCACAGTCAGGTAATCAGTTCTCAGCCTGTACTATGCTTATTCTAGAGAGAGCTAGAAAACTTACTTTTTGAAACTTTTTCTACTCTCATTTTTAATCAAGAGCATTTATGCTGGCTAATTGCAGGAGGCTTGAGCCTGAATGACTTCATTGTAGCTGCTAAAATAGACGCAGTTAAAACATCAGACCTTGTCCCCAGAAAGCGAGTTTGGGCATAGCCGGAAAACAATCCATCTTCCTCGCAATGGCTGGTTATCCTTCTGCTGGCTTACCGCCTTTTTTGAAGTACTTTTAGATTACCCTACAAATCATTCAAAGCTGTTCCATACATTTGTAGATTGTAAAAGCTGTTCCCATGAAGGGTAATTTCAGACCTGTATTGATAACCTATGAGAGATGTATATTGATAGTGACAAGTAAACCTTGTATGGCTATCTTCAAATAGTTTTGGATAAATACCTGTTAACAACTTCTTATATACATATAGTGTTGTATAGCAAGTTACCATATATGATGCCATGAAAAAACCAAATGAATCTCAGACAAATAAGATGCTGTGTATTGTTAAACTCTATTTAAGCAATGATCATTTGGAAAGAGAGCTTTCGTGGCGTGTTTTATTTGAGTTTACACCCTGGTCATACAAAACCGCACAAAAGACCAGCTTATGCAAAAATGTATTGAAGGCGATCAGGCAGAGGTGGGAGAGAAATTAAGCAAATAAGAGACCGGATAGCTTAACCAGTTAGAGCAGAGTTAAGAGCACTGTGTACATCCACTCCAATTTGGGCTTCAGCTTTCTCTATATCGGTTGATGCAGAGTTTAGCTTCTGTGTGAACTCGGTAAGACCCTTTTGGACCAAATTTGCATCAATATGATCAAGGGGCACAGCTTCAACGGCAATTATATCCGCAATCGAATTTGCGTGAATAAATGCAAATCCACCGCTCAGAAAGTACTTGGTCACGTCGTTGCCTTCATGAACTGACATGACTCCAGGCTTTAGCTCAGCTACTGTGGCCACATGCCCAGGAAGAACACCCATCTGTCCGGTATTTGCAGGGATTATGACCATGTCAACCTGGAAATTCATCAGTGACATATATAGGACTCAGTACTCGATATTCAAATGTGCTACTTATCAACTCATCACATAAAGCAATCTATGGAAAATACTATGTGTACTCCCAACTTTTACTCCCACACACAAAATTTTGATGTACACACTTGTATTGGGACCCACATGAAAAAAATAGCTAATCAGAGTCCGCCACATTAGGGAGTAAGATTTGGGAGTATATGTAGTAGAACTCGCAATCTATGCAGTATGCACATTTAAGCTGTCTTCTAAGAAAATCAACTTTCAGGCACCATTTGTCACCAATTAAGATTCAAGCTATTGTTTAACTATAAGAGTCAGGTGAGAGTTCCAATACATAATACATACACAAGAATAAATGACAAGGGAAGAGGGAACAGTCAGCCAATGAGCCAATCCATTAAAAGATTTTTTAGTTGATAAAATCCAAAGAACTCCAATCAATGCATATTAAGGCATTGCATATGAATAAATAGACAGAATGTTAATCTATAGTCAAACCGATGCATTGATATATCTTAACGGATATCAAGCCAATTAATTAGAAACTTTTGAGCAGCAAGCCAACACCATACTTATATTTTTGGACACAGTTATCATGAGTATTTGAAAACAATATAACATCTTGGGTAGAATGCTGAAAGGGCTAACGACTCAAGAGAATGTCTAAAATCAGGAACATGGCTTTGGCAATCCTGGGAGGACAGCAAGAGAACATGAAAACCATACTATCAATAGAATTGATCTGAAAAGAGCAAATAGAAGGAAAACAACATCTTTTAATTCTGAGTAAATCAATAGTAGGGGCAACAACCCAACCAAGTTGGTCAAATTGTTGGCTTGGTAACTACAAGGTTCCAAGTTCAGCTCTCAGTGGAAAGGGCCTATTGGTGGGTTTGAACCCTAAGCTGGTCCTTTGCCGCAGACTAGAATCACAAGGTGAGATTTACGGACATACCCAAAAGTAAATCAATAGTCCATATTAAATATCAAAAAGTCTGAATTTTGAAATGTTCTTAATTGGCCTTCACCCAAAAAAAAAGAAGGTAGAGGCTTTGAATCAGACAGAGAGAAAGGACCTAATCTAATCTATGATATTGAAAACACAAATATCAATCACTGTTTATACTTTAGAGAATCACAACCGTCCATATTTTTATCTGCAATACACTTTAATATATTATCAAACATAAAACCGTACGGCATTATAATAAATGTAAATGTATATACCTCTTTACCGGCGAGTTCAGAGGAGTAAGGAAGGGCAAAGTTGACAGTGAGCTTGGAAGGGAAGGAGGACGGGGTGGCGGGGCGAGGGGCCATGTAGGCAGACGGAGTCTGGGGTGGGTCCACGTTTGGGATTGTTTTCTTCCAGGCCTCAACGAAAGTAGCATCCGCCGTCAGTTCGGTAGAGAAGGGGCGGCGCCATCTGATAGCGTTGGCTCGGGCTAGAATTCGAGACGTGTGGCGGAACATGGCGGAGGAATCCGGCGACGGCGACGGCGAGCGGTACAATCTGGAAAATGAAGATCGGGAGAATTGCCACGAGCTGCTTAGTTTTGTGCTCCAAATGGGCCGTGAAAATGGCTGTTTTGAGCTTTCGTTTGAAACCGGCTAGCCCACTATTAAAATTCATCCAGATAACTTTTTTTTTTTTTTTCCTTTTTTTTGGATACAGATTTTCTAGCTTAGGTTAGACTAATTCTAAACCCACAAAAATCTTACGCATACAGATTTTCTAGCTTAGGTTAGACTAATTCTAAACCCACAAAAATCTTACGCAAGAGTCGTTGAAGGAGGTAAATCGCGGAGTTGTAGACTCTACACACAAAATCAATTTTCACACTTCCGCCAACTTAGAGAGCCCAATCTCCATCACTGAATGAGATAAATCGCAAGTCACCCAATTAACCTCCCAATCACTCGATGATGTTGACTCTACGTACAAGAGAATAATCTTCACACTTCCATCAACTTAGAGAGCCCAATCTCCAATCTAGAGGTTAAAAAATGACATACATTTCCTATTTCCATACTATCATGTGTTAGTTTTCATGTTTATGTAGTGATATCTTGTGTTATATTTTCTATTTCCATGCTATCTTATGTTACATTTCCTATTTTCATGATATCTTGTATTACGTTTCTTCTCTCAAATATTACCTACTTACTGAATCAGTGAACTAAATCTACTACCTACCTACTGAATCAGTGAACTAAGTCTGTGCAAGACTCTTACATTGCTTTGGATTACAGAGGCATATCTATTATCTACAAAATTAGAAATGATGTATTGTCTCAATCAAAAGGGGGCATATGCATATGCATATGCAAATCCCCCAACAAGTCAAATTATTAACAAAAAATATACCACAATGTTAATAGATGACAGATGCAACATCCTCCCCACTTAAGTATTGTGGGGAGCCCAGAAAATGCTACAAAGTAAACAGAAACATCAGTGCCTAATGGTACAACTGCAGAGGTTGCAGTTTTGAGTTGTTCATTCCACCTTGAACACAGGCCCTTCAGTTAGACCACACATGGACCAGTCCACACCTATTGCCAGTATAGATCTCGTTGCGCTCCTCATCGTAAAAGAGGGCGGTGATATCGTCCAGGGCCTCTGCAACCGTGCTCCTAATTCTAGACGCTTGGACACGCTTCGACTTGCAGCTCCTACCACCACAGCGGGCAGTGCAATTGCAATCGTTCGTGGCAACAGCGTCGGTTGCTTTTATTTTAGCAAGGCACTTCCCTGTCAAAATATTGCTGATATTGATAGAGCCAGCTGCAATACCCGGAAAACATTCGTTATCCACACCAATATCAAGGAAATAACAAAAATCTGAACAGGGCATTAGGATTCTCCGTTTTTCTTGCAGATATAAATGGGAAAGATTGTAAGCTATTCTTATTCATGCTCGACTTACCAGTTCCTTCTGATAGAGACTCATAAGAATCGGCTTTACAGTAGGAGATGATTAGGTCCTGGTCACTAGTTATGTAAATGTTGTTAGTATTACAATCAGGATGCCACAAAAGATGATCCTCGAATGAAGTTACAAGCTCCCCTCGGAAGTTCCAGACAGCAACTGTTCTGTTTCGGAATGTCAAGAACAGCTGGTTCTCGTACAGAAAAATGAATGCTGAAGGGGTCATGAACTCGGTTCTGCTAACTTCTGTTAATTCAGAGTTACGGACCTGAATTTGATATTCATTAGATACTGACTAAAAATAATGGGAGAAAACAGCAGCAGTCTGAAACGAAAACATTAATGCTCACATCAAGAATCTGAAGATTCTCATTCTCTTGTTTGACAAGTAGCTTTTCATTGAACTGTTCAATGAAATCCACCTTTTTATTCCGATGAAGCATATGGTTGAAAGATTTCAGTACAGTCCCATCTTCAATAGAGAGAATCTTAAGCGGAACATAGCAACTTGCTTTGTTAAATATCAATAGCATGATTCCTGGACTGTTTTCCAAAAGGACACGGAGAACAGCATAAATAGAAGAAGAAAGCACCAGTAATTCGCCAGCAATAAACAGAAAATAATATCTACACGCACCTAATACCATATCCAAAACAAACAATATTTCCTAATGAAAAAGAACAATCAACTCAAAAAGGCTCCTAAAACACAAAGAAGCACAATTGACTCGGCTCCATCCATGCCCCAGTGGTACCACTGATTAAATTTGAAATCTTTAATAGGCAACAAGATTTAAAAGAATCCAATTGAGAATTAATATGGGCAGAACATATCAAGCAAAAAGCAAATCGAACACACTAAACTTTATGCAGGTAGTCAAGATTGAAAAGTTTATGCATACGCACTAAAATCACTGACCTGATTTTAATCTCTTGAACATTTTTATCTGATATGGAATACAACATCGTATAATTCTTCAGGTCAAACACTTTGTATATGCTGATCAAATACAAAGGGAAATTTATAAGTAAAAAAATGAACTTTTACAAATAAAGGTGTTACATAGCTGAAATATGATAACTGAACGTATACCTATCCTGGGCAGAGTAGGTTAGCACTTTTCCATTTACATCATCAAACTCCACAAAACCAGGCCACTTTAATGACTCTGACTCAAAAAGTGCAAAACCGGCATCTGGTTTGCCCCTTCTTATGTATCTAATATAAAAAATGAAAAATATTAGACATGACCAAAAAAAAAATAAAAAAAAAAAAAATAGAAAGCAAATAGTAGTAGAGAAAATAAGGTTGTTTTACTCGATTCTTGTGGTCCGGCACTTCAAGGAGCTAAAATTATCCAAAGCATAAACTGAAACGGTGATGAGGGAATCATTATTTTTATTGTAAAACAAACTTCGTATCACTTCATCTGGGCTGACATTCAGAAAACATATCCTCTTGTTGGTCTCTGCACAGGCAACAAACAAGCATAAGCCCCTTTCCAATGTTACCATCTCTCGAAAAGTATTCACCCAAGAAAAAGAAAACAAAGGAGAAGGCTAGATCTAATTATGTAAGCATTGCTTACCTCGACTAAATGCAGCACAGATGCCAGACTGTGCAAGAGCAAAGACAATGTCACATGCAGCAACTATTTCAATAATTTTTGACCTTTTCTTCAGAAATGGAAGTACCATGGCACAATGTCCTTTAGGATCATGAGTATCATATTCCTCCTGAAGGCCATATACAATTATTAAACTCTCAAAACAGAAGTATATCAGTATATGTGTGTCTATTTGTATAAAAGCCATCTAGAATTTATTCTAAATTGTATAAAACTAAAAGATCTTATACTGGATTCTATGCTCACTAGAACTAAAACTGGGGTTCCATGATGTGCACAAAACATGAACAATGGACAGCAATGATTTGAAACCACCGTTCTCCACTAGAGAAAACCCCATCTAGACCATCACATACAACTACTATTAAAATATGTTCTACCTTTCTTCAGAAATTGAAGTACCAATGGGCATTGTCCTTTAGGGATCTTGAATTATTATAATCCTCATGAAGCTCACACAATCGCTATCATATTTAAAAGACGTGTGTACATCTGCGTGAAGCATAACTAAAGGATGAAGTATGAGGGTTTGAGGGAGCAATATTATCTACTGTTAACCTCCAAAGTAATTGCTTGCAATTCTCAATGTGCACCAGTGTTTGCATCTGAAGTATTAATACTAGAAGAGGGCAATTATTTTCACATTAAATTGATCTAGGTTTACCAATATCATTCAACTTCCAATAAGATCCATAGAAATCAGTCAAATCACTCAACAACAAAAATGAAAATTCCTGAGCTAGGGTACTCCTTAAAATTAACCTTAAGAAAAAGAGAGGGGGGTTCCTATTGATTTTCAGTGATTCCACCCCCAGTAAAGCTAAAGCCGGAATTTAGTTCCTTCATCACAGTTATTCATACAAAACATTCAATAACGATTCCAAATTGCAAAATTACAGTAAATAACCCAACAGACCTGTAGTCGAATGTTCCGAAATCGCTCTTGGGCATCGCTCATACTGAACGCTCGGTCACGCTTCGACGAAATCTCCCTCCTTTGGAGCTTCTTAACGCTGTTAACGAACCCATCAATGCCACTGCGAGTTCGCTTCTTCGCCACCACACGCCGCCCAGAGCACGGCCGCGGACTGGCCGTTATCCTTCTTCCGTCCATCTCCAACTCCACCACCGCAGCTACCCACCAAATTCTACAAATCTAAACCCTAATACATCGACAAGTACAGGCCTTTTTACATGTGCACAGACATACTAGCTCCAACGCAACATTCCCGGCAGTGAAATAGACAACGGATTCGGGTTCCCAATGTTAATTTCCCAGCGTTTTAAACCCTAAATCCTAAGACCCGGATACCAAAAATTAGGGATTTTCTAGCCCGGGTTTCAGCTGGAAGAAAAAACAACACAGAAGATTGATAAGATGAGAAGGCTCCCCGTATATGCTCGAACTGTGTGAATTTTCTCTCTCTATATGTATATATGCATGCAAAATCTCTCACTGAACACCAATCGGAAATTGAAGATGGGTCCGGGAGGATGACGGACGGGGGAACATCGGGGAACGGGTCGGATGTAAAACAGTGGGACGTCCGATTTGATTTCAAAATCCCTCGTCTTTACTTTGCAGCATTTTGTGATAGTGTACTAACTATTTTAACCCTACCTTATAATAAATATTCTAAATTAATTTTTTATTTAGAACGTTTTAATAAATTGTTATAATATACTCGATAATTTTTGAAAGATTATTGGACAAACTCTGACCGAACCATTCTAATTGTAAAATTAGAAGAGTAAAGATTCAGTGAGAGTTATTATATGATAGCGATCTAAATACTTCATTAATTTTAAGAATAAGGTTCAAATTGGCCACTGAATGTAACCTGAAAATGTAATTAGGTCACTGAACGAAAAAAAAGTACAATTAGGCCATTGAACACTCAAAAAATGTGCAATTAGGCCACTGAACTCTCCAAACGTATGCAATTTTACCGGATAGCAGGTTACCATCAATTTTAGCAGGTTACCTGCTTACGTGGCAGCTTAGTTGGCATTTTTAATAATTTTTAAATAATTTTTAATAATTAATTTTAATAATAAATTTTATAAAAAAATTGGAAAAAATTAAATAAAAAATAAAATAAAGTCGTTTTTATTTTTTTAAAAAATTTTTTAATAAAAAGTTATTATTAAAATTTATTAAAAATTAATTAAAATTTATTAAAAATGCCAACTCAGCTGTCACGTAAGCAGATAACCTGCTAAAATTGAGAGTAACCTGCTATCAGGTGAAATTGCATATTTTTTGAGTGTTCAGTGGCCTAATTGCATTTTTTTTTCGTTCAGTGGCCTAATTGCACTTTCAAGTTACGTTCAGTGGCCAATTTGAACCTTATTCCTTAATCTTATTATCATTTACCACTACTTTAAATACTACCTAAAAAATTTCTTATTTTTCAAATTCAATAGAATATTCGGTCAATTTTTTAGCAAATTTGGCATTCTGAGCATATCTAATACATACGATGTCGGATTGAAGTGGTCTACAACTTGTTGAAAAACTAAGAGATCTAGTTACAACTTTCATATATTGAGCTTTCCAAAATTCAAAATGCATAATAATCAAAATACAACTTGAAGTTATTGTTAGTATATATTGTCAAATTTTCAACAGAAACTTTTGAAGAGGCACAAACAGCGACATGAACAGTCATTTGTGTGTTTGTTCAGCATTGTAGGTAGCACATCATGGAGGCATTGCACTAGAGCTCTACAACGACTATTCCTCAAGGCGTGCCAACTTGAATAGCCTCATGAATAGTCGTTCATCTGCCCATTTGACCCTACAGGAAGTTTTTGAAGAAAAACTTAGGAAGAAGAACAATCGCAAATCAAGTCATTCATCTATACTCTATTTTGTGGCGGTGCGATTTTAAATTGAGTTTTCGGTTGTTTTAATGTTCTTTAAATTTGTACCTTGATGTTTTAACACTTTTATATTAAGTTGGGCTATAAATACCCAACTTTAACACTTTGTATGGAACGTATGTTTAGCTATTTTGAGTAATGCATTACATTTCACTCCAAACATAACTAGGGGTTATCTTGGGTGGACTAACCAAATTATTTTACTTGCAAGCATCAAGAGTTGGTAGTTGTTAACCGATTGGATGGTCGTAGGTTCGAATCCTACTTGGGGAGATTTGATGCATTCTGAATGACAGAAATAAAGGGGCTCAATTTGACAGTTAAGAGTAGTCGTTATCTCATTATGTTCTGCGAGATTTGAAAATAACCGCAAATACATATATACTATAGCCATGGGACTATTTACAACTAGCCAATTCAGAATTATCAGATGCATCAAAGATGCAGTCATCGATTCTCCCGAGAGTTCCGAGCAAGCATATTAATGACAAGGAAGGCTTTTTTGGTATGCTACTAATACATGTACTTGCTATGCTATTCTGCTTAAGCCTGGCTGAGGAAGGGTTACGGGGCGTCAAACAAAAAAATACGCTAAGTTGGGATATTGGTTGTAACGATTAACCTATTTATTATTCATGATAAATAATAAATAAAAAGAAAAGTCATTCCATTTCGACAAATATGATAGTCACGTTAAGGTATATCAAGTACGGGTTAATCAATGTTTAAGGTTTTTTTTTTTTTGTTTTTTTGTTTTTTTTTTTTCAGTGATAGAGTAGGAGTTTTCAGTGATTCATGGCATTCCTGAGTTATCAAATGTGAAACCCCACTTATGGTATCAAAACTATTGTCATATTGCTCTATAGCTGAGCGTGAGGCGAGAATCAAACTCAAAATCAAAAAACAAACCCCTTATCCAACATAAATTGAACCTAGAAATTGAACACACCAAGCCTAATAAATTGTTCTAAAAAATCCTTTTTTTAATTAGAGTGTGAAGAAAAGACCGGGCCAGTCCGATTCATATTATTTGTTAAATCAGAGCACACATTTGTCTCTTCATGAAGACTCATGGAGCTCTAACGGTGCCCTAGCACGAGGATTCGAGGACAAACCCCTCTAAAGAGGGAGGAAATGTTGTGGTCACAGGAATCAACAATTGACCGTTATAATATTTTCGAATTAGTTTTATTATTTAATTAGGATGATTATGTTAAAATTATTTTAGATTTAGTTTGTTAGAATTATATTATTATTTATGTTTATCTTAGTTTATTGGTTAGGATTAGTTTATCATATTCTTAATAATTATATCATTCATGTGGTTGTATCTATTTGTTACTGACTATTTAAGCCCATTACATGCCAAATGGAAACGTTATGTTGTGGAACCGTGCCCACCTTGCGGAGGTGGGCACGATTCCAGATTCATAATTTCTATACTGTAGATTCATAATTTTTAAACTGTAGATTCATAATTTTTATATATACCGTAGATTCATAATTTAAATACAGTAGATTCATAATTTAAATACAATAGATTCATAATTTCTATACTGCAGATTCATAATATCTGTAATGTAGATTCATAATTTCTAAACTGTATAGTTATCAAATAATGAACATATAGTTCTGTGATTTGTGAATACAGAGTTCAACAATTGGAAATATCGAAAATTATGAACATATAGCTCTATAATTATGAACATATATTTATAAAATTATGAACATATAGCTCTATCACATGTTCACAAACATAATACTGTAGATTCATAATTTCTACACTGTAGATTCATACTGAAGACGAAACAATGCGATTGCGAAGAGAAAAACGCCGTTAATGACAAGTGAAAAATAATTTTTTTAATTAGAAAAATTATGAATCTACAGCATAGAAATTATGAATCTGAAATTGTGCCAACCTTTCAAGGTGGGCACGTTTCCACGGCATAATTTGCCATGCCAAATGAAATAGAGATTCAAGATGAATTTTTTAGAATGAAAACTGATATAATTTTCTCGAGCTCGAGATGAGTTCAGTCATGAATGATTCATGTCACTCCTAACTTATCAAGTGTGGAACCTCACCTGTGGCGTCAAAATCATTCTCATATCGCTATATAGCCGATCGAGCGTGAGGCGAGAATCAAACTCAAAATCTAAAAGTAAATCGGATTCAAATCATATATATTTATAAAAGACATTTTAATAAAGTATGAAGAAAAGATCGGATCAACCAAATTTATATCATATATATTTTTAGAAGACATACCAATATACCATCACATTGCAATTGAGTGAAACCTAGTCCCATCCCCAATAGTAGTAGTGTTATTAGCTTCTTCAAGTGAGTGTAGATAGCATAGCCATAGGGTTAAATGAATGCGCACAAGTGCTAGCCCATTTCCTAGACAAAAGGAATCAATTGTTTTTTGATAACGTTACACCGACACAACAAATTGCAACTTGCCAACTAGGTATGTAGCACCCTATTTTTACATCAACACTTTTGCCTTTTCTAATTCATATGTATGCTCGAAATTCTCCTAAAGTCAAGGCTTTTTCTTTTCCCTTTTTTTATTCTCAATTGATGGATGAATTTTTTTGTCAAAGTAATCCTACACTAATGTAATGATGATATTATTATTGTACCTCCCAAATACTCTGTCGAGTCGGGTGTGGGGGGCCCTTAGGGTTGGGGTTCAGCCTTTTGAAAGAATGATATTTTTATTGTATATATAAAATTGGCACAATCATACAACATAATTTGTTGATATGATACTATTAATATCCTTTGTGCAATTTGATCATATCGATCGATGTCTTGATGCTTTCTTTTTAAATTGTTGGTATATTCTTGTGCTTATATGTTTTTGAAGGTTATCAAAATTTAAGAAAACATTGTTCCAGTTCTTCCAAAGTACAACTTAATTAAATTATATTAATACTATCATCTTTATCTTTATATTATAAAAATAATTCTTAAACACATACAAAATGGTGGATCATCTCCACCTTCGTTCCTACCGACATATGCAATTGGATCAATAATATAACTTTTTAAATTATTTGAACTTTATATTTTTGGATGGTTAAAAGTCTTTGAAACTTGAAAGGGCAAACATTTTTGGAAAGAAAAAAAAAGAAAAAGAAGGAAAGAAACATTATTAAAGTGGATCTGTTTTTGTGGCTAGACTCATCAAGCCCCTCATTATTAGGACCAATATATAGCAACGAGAGATCATTTTTACTCCATGATGTGATAATTGATAATTATTAGTTATTTTCATCATATGGATTTCATGAAAATGTCATAATCAAAATTCTGTGAGAAGTAGTAAAAGTTTAGGCTGTTTAGAGTAGAATTCGGAAATAGTAGTACTCCCTCTGTCCTATTTTATCTGTCCTATTTATTATTCATTGGTCAAACAAACTCTTTCTTCTATGTTTGATTTCTTTGGGATTTTTTACTTATTTTTAAATTTGATTTTTTTGTGTTTAATAATACTTTTATTGTAGTTTCTAAATATATAGATTTTGTATACTAATACTAAACTTAATATTATGAAAAATTGAATTAAAAATAACTTCAATCAAGCTATTAACCCGACCCATAAAATGAGATAAAAAGAGTAATATTTTTGTGTATAAATCCAATAAACACATCTCATAAAGTCAAAATTAAACTTAAAATTTTATGGTTA